GTTAAACCAGGATACCTTATCCCCCTAAACCCCTGCCTGCTGAGGACTTTTATTTCAAAATATATCGGGACAGGGGCAATCTCGGTCCCTTTTTGTTAACGTCGTTCTGAACAATATGTCATGCTAATATGGTCGAGTGGTCAAAGTTAACACAACGGCCTTCCATGCGGCCGGGGTTCGATCCCAGAAGTTGTCGTATGCATGGATATGCAGAGCAAGTGTTTTTCTCCTGCCTATACAACTCCAACAACCCAGGTGGAGTATAAATTGGTCTGGGGAGAATGTTGCGGTATTTGTGCTGTAGCATTCAAGCGAGGTGGCACTATAAATGATGCCGTATGAAGCACGATCCCGCTACAAACACACCACATTTTACGTATACATTTCCAGCACACACGCAGTCATACACACATGGGGAGATATTAGCCAGGTGGCATTTGGCTAGTAGTTAGCGCCTGAAAAGGTAACAACCAAAAAACCAGCGTTGTCAAAATATGTCTTCGTTGCAGTCTCGAGAATTAATAACTATTATTTAAAGGGACGGGGGGAGGGGGGCTACGATTGACCCTTTATCCTAGAAAATGGTTGATATTTTATCCAAAATAGTCAAATAGGGACATTGTCAAAAGAATTATATATGCAAAAATTGCTGCAATTTTGACAAAAGGTGTAAATGATAGTTTATGTAAATCGTCTTATGTCCCCGGCTTCTCTCTCTCTCTCTTAGAAGATGACATTATTACCAAATCATTGACATTTGGCCCAAAACGTGCGGTTACAACTAGATATTGAGCGTGAACTGAATATTCTGAACAACACAATTAATGCCATTTACAATTTATATGATTATAATTAAATAGATTAAAGTATGCAGGATCCGTTCCCTCGTGGTTGGTGGACTGTCGGTAAGTCATTTTCATAAAATGGTTTGGTGTCCAGCAGCTTTGCTGCATTTTCTTGTTTCCAATGCATTTGTGAAGACATTTACAATGTTTCAATCCTATTTTTCTACATATATACTTGTAAAAATAAACGTAGGCAAAAACAGCATAATAATGTAAAAATGACGATTTTTTTTTACTATTGAATACAATTCAAACAATTAATAACACAAAGATATTTGCAATTTGTTACTGTAGTATACCCTAAAATTTCGATAATAAGCCTGATTTGAAAATGGGCTGGCATTAAAATTAAGTCATTGTTCCTTACATTCAACATATGAAAATAAGACGTCTTTGAAAGTAGGCCGGTCTTGAAATATGCATTGGGTTCCAGGTAGGAGCCACATTTCCTAGATGGAGGGGTAACTATCACATAGCATGGGGTTTTACTGCAACAATTTGATAAAAGAAAAAAACATTCGTTAAAAATCCCTTTTATTATATTTTTCATTGCGAAAGAAAAAGGCATTGAGAATATGCCATAAAAGGCTTACTGATTAACTTCAAACGTAAGGCTGCATTGAAAATAGGCCGGCTTTTTAATGAGCCTTTGAAAGTCATGCTTAAATTTTAAAAAAAGAGGACATTTCTATCTATATAGGCGCGATTTTTATATGACCACGTGGCGTTTTCAATGCAATTTCAAAAAAAAAATAGATATTCAAAATAACAATCCGGCATATTTACCCGGAGAGTCGTCACATAGTTTTAAATTCAAACTAACAAAAAATCATCTTCCACAAAACTTCCATTTATTTTGAAAA